TAGGAAACATCAAGGCAAGTGGCCAGGTCCTCTCAACGCAAACCCCCTTCCAAGACTAAGACTCAGTGGAAATGCACGCTCTGATTGGTGACCACACACATCACCGATGGGGGGAAGTGGGGTAAAAGCAGCAATGAAATGGCAAGCTAAGCCCTACAATGTTCACTGGACTTCTGTGGACCCAGTTGGGGACCTGGTCTGCAAGCAGCGTGAAGAGGCCTGGGGTCTCTTGGGCCCAGAGTCAGTGGTGTGGCCATGGAGGACTCGAGAGGAGAGTGGAGCTACCGGCTGACGGGAAGAGAGGGCATATGCACAGGAGTGCCCACACTTGCAGATGATACCCACGTGACCTGGACCGGATGACTGGATGATTGGAGCTCAACCAGGAGAGGAAAGAAGAGGGGGAAAAAAAAAATAAGAGTGAGCTGATACAGTCTGATGAACTTGACCTATACCTATGGAGCAGCGACTCAAAAGAGGGAACAAATCCTCACAGCAAGAAACATTCACACACACCCCCACAAACAGAGAGGACAGAGAAGGGCAGCTTGAACATTGGATACTCAAATTGGGAGTGGGGGAGACTACAAAGGCAAGAAGTGACTGGCTTACAAGCTTTCAAGAGGGAACCTGGTGCTAGGGAGCATGGCTGAAGGCAGAATCTCCAGTGGGTACTATTCAGTCTGTCTGGGCGGAGCTGATGAAAGGAGATACAGACAGGTAACTCGTGATACTGTACTGAATAATGCTTATCAGGACGGATTGTGAGGATTGTAACAAGGAAGGAAGTGATTAATTCTCCCAGTCTAGGAGCGGAGGTCTCTGGGACCATAAACGGAGAAAAGCCGAGAGCAGGACCCTACCCAGAGAAACAGAGATGCCTGAGATAGAGACAGAGACGACGATGTGTAGTGATGAAGCGGCTGGGGACTCTGGACCCAGAGAGGGAAAGGTACTGTGGGCCGAAAACTGGGGGGTGGGGTGGGGGGAGTGTAGGGGGTGGGTTTCTGGGATATACCCTTTGGTTGGTTGATGATGCATGGAGGGGATTGGAACCATGGCAATGAAATGATATATGATGGAATGAATGTAAGACTAAGGTTCTCCCAGGTAAACTATCATATAATTCACAATAGAACATTTAAAAAAAAAAAGAGGATGGAAGGAATGCACAGAGTCACTGTACCAAAGAAAAATGGTCAATGTTCAACCGTTTTAAGAGGCAGCATGTGACCAACAGCCAATGGTACTGAAGAAAGAAGTCCAAAGTACACTGAAGGCTCTGGGAAGTAACGGATACAAACTGAAATCTTTCAACAAACTGATGCAGCACTGGAGGCTCTCACTCACCGATGCTAAGACATTTGGAAGCCAGCTACCTGGTCAAGCAACAGGAAGAGATCCTTATCTGTGCCCATTCCAAAGAGAGGTGACCCAACAGAATGCAGAAATCATTGGACAATATCAGTTGTTGTTGTTGTTAAGTGACGTCGAGTCGGTTCCGACCCAAAGCGACCTTGTACAGGGTTTCCGAGGCTGTAAATCTTTACGGAAGCAGAAAGCCCCATCTTTCTCCCGCGGAGCGGCTGGCAGTTTCGAACTGCTGACCTTAAGATTCGCAGCCCGATTCGTAACCACTACACCACCAGAGCTCCTTGGACAATATTAGTATCGCAAGTACACTTTTGCTAAAGATAACTAAAAACAGCTGCAACAGTCGAACTGCCCGAGGTTCCGGCAGAATCAGACGAGACTATGACACGGGGGACATCACTGCTGACATCAAAGGATCTTGATCGAAAGCCGAGAACACCAAGAAGGCGTTTACCTGTGCTTTTATTACGTATGCAAAGTCTTTCTATGATTTGCATCATGACAATCTAAGGACAACATTGCAGAGAATGCATATTGCACAACACTTTACTGTGCTTACAAGGCTGGTGGTTAAAACTCACCAGGCACTCCATGGAAACCCTATCCAGGGTCGCTATGAGTCTCCTCAACAATGAGGAGCCCATACATAGACTAAGAGGCAGTGGTTTAAACAGAACAAGGGGACAGTGAACGGGTTAAAATCAGGCAAGGTGGGCGCCAGGGCTGTATTCTTTCACCATACTTATTCAATCTGTATGCTGAGCAACGAATTCAAGAAGTTTCTTATATAAAGAATAACATGACATCAGGATTGGAGGAAGACGACTTAAAGATGAAACAATCCAGCTTGCTGAAAATGAAGAGGACTTTAAAATACGATGAAGATCAAAGAGCACAACCTTGGGTTTGCACTGCACCTCAGGGTAAAGAAAACAGAAATCCTCACCACTGGACCAATAAACAACATCCATATCAATGGAGACAAGAACGAAGTTGTCAAGGACTTCATTTTGCTCAGATCAACTATCAACACTCATGGAAGCAGCAGTCAAATAATCAAATGACGTAACCTGACTCACGCCACGGTATTTTCAACAGCCTCATATGCATTCGAAACTTGAGCAATGAAGAAAGAAGACGGTATAAGAATTGCTGCATGTGAGTTATGGTGTTGGAGAATATTGAATGTACCATGGACTGCCAGAGAACACACAGATCTGTGTGGAAAATGCAGCCAGACTGCTCCTTAGAAGTCAGCATGGTCAGACGTCGTCTCTCATACTTCGGACATGCTGTCAGGAGGGACAAGTCCCTGGAGAAGGACATCACGCATGGTAAAGTGGAGGGAAGACCCCCAGTGAGACTGATGGGCACTGTGGCCACAGCAATGACTGTGAGATTGTTGCAGGACTGGGCAGTGCTGCATTTTATTGTCATAAAGTCACTGTGAGTCCGTACTGACTCCATGGTACCTATCAACAACAACAAACTCCCTTTTAGTAAATGGAAGTATGTGGTATTCACAAAGAGAAACAGAAGCCCTAACTAAACCACGTCTCTACCTCACTGCTGGCCCTGCCCCTCCCACTGCTGCCTGCTTCACATGGTGCAAGGATGGGGGCCTGTGAACTGATCATCGTGTGCACGAGGATTCGTGTTTCTTAACCAATGGACCCACCACAGCCCTGTTCTGGAAGGAGGAGAGTAGACACAGCACAGGTGACGGGCACATAGTAAGATGCAGGGCCCTTGGACAGCATGTGCCCCAGAGGAAAAGCTCGTGAACAGCAGCCCTCCCCATGAAAAGGGCCTGAGGCTTTGTACTGGGACGTCACTGTTCTGTGATGGTGACAACAGCAACGCGTCCTCCTTACATCCTGCTGTTCTGAGTGGAACTCAGGGCCAGAGAGGAAGCATACGTGTTAACAGATGACAGGCCTGAGACACTCAGAGCATCCACTCATGGGCCGGCCCTGGGAACCCAGGTGTGAAGGTCTGAAGGGAAACGTGTTACAGAGAGTGAGCCTGGGGCCTCCCCTACAGGACCTGGCCTAGCACTGCGTCCACATAGGTGGGACCTGCTAGATCCGTGGCTCTGAGAACTAGGCTGAGTCAAAGCACTGTGCCTGTGGGGACTTTTCACAGACAGAGCCTGTGGGGCCCTTGTTTACCAGGGAACGAAGAACTTCATGATGGCGATGGCAGATGTGCCCGCCCCTCCCTCGCTCCCCCCGTCAGGCCTGTTGGCATGGGACCCACCTCCTACTCTCGTGGAAACCGCCAAAGACGAAGAGCTGTCGCTTCCAGGAGACCATCCGGTGTCCGCTCCGGCCTGAGGGGCCCCCCACACACCTACACACCAGGAAAAATACTGTCAGAGGGTTGATTTTCTGGATGCACACACAAAAAAATGCTCTATCAAACTATCACTTTTTGTTACAGCAGTTTCTGTTTTGTGACTGTTTTCTGAGAACTGTTTGACGTGACCCATGAGTTCCCAAAGCTGTTATGACTTCCAATCGGACGGTCTAGCTCACTAACGTATCCAAACTCACTCTCTGGTTCTCCTTGAGACAGACAGGCAGGATCCAACTCAAGTTTAAAAAGGACGGATCCACGTTTTCTCCAGTCAGTCTGCCACAGTGGTGGCCTGCACAACTACATCTGGACACAGCCATTGTCAGGATCAGAGACAACCACCACCTGTGGAGTCTTTGGGTGGAACACACAGCTCTAACTGAGAGGCTTGAGGTACGACTCCACCAGAGGCACCTCGGAAGACAAGCCTAGTGATCGATTTCTGAAATATCTGCCACTGAGAACATTATGGGGTACTTCTACTCTCCCACAGTGAAGGGACCGTTGTCAAAGCCAGATCCGTATTACCTACCAGTTTTCCCCCAAAGTCCAAACCTACCAAACATTTTCTAGTCTCCTAACCAGTCAGACAGACAACACCACTGCCCGCTGCTCGCTGAGTTGGCTCAGCAGCCCTGCAGGAGAGCAGCCGTCTTCATGGACACAGGCTGCCCCATCGTCTTCCCGTGGGCCAGTTGGTAGGCTTGAACCGCTGACCTCTGGGTTAGAAGCCAGTGCCTAACCACCAGCGCTCGCCACGGCCACCGGTTACACACAGAGTTGACCCTCACATGGAGGAGCTAATGAAGAAAGCTGTGCAGACGGAGGAAGGAGGTGATGGGGAAAGAGCCCTCCCACCCTCACACACATGAGGGCCAACGCTGTCTTCACCCAGTCAAGCGGTCAGGCAGAGGCTTCAGTGCTATGGGTGCTGAGACGCAATCAGCTGGGTCTGACACCCATACAACAGAGCAAAACGCTGCCCGGCCCTGCACCCACCTCACATTCGTGACGAGGTTTAAACCCAGTGTCGCTGCCACTGTGCCAATCTAGCTCGTTGTTCACTGACCCTCCACTTAACCAAGTATGATGTCCTCCAGGGACTTGTCCCTCCGGACAATACAGTCAAAGCACATGGCCCAGAGCCTCTCTATCCTCACTTCTTCGCAGCGTTCTGGTTGTACCGCTTCCAGGACCAGTGTGTTTGTGCTTCTGCCCGTCTGTTGTTATTGTTGCTAAGTGGCGCTGAGCGGGTTCAGACTCACAGCGAGCCTACTGAACGTTCTTCATCACCACCACCACACCAAGACCTCAGTTCCTCGTCCTTAACTCAAGGTCCAGCTTTCCCACGCCTAGGAGGCGAGTGAGAGTTAAGTAACCGCGGCATAAGGGACCCAACCAGCACAGACATCTCCGGGGGGAAGAAAAAGGAGGCCAGGCTCTCAGCATCACTACCGTAGGCAGAAAGCCCACAGCTTCAACCTCCCAGGAACCAGGGGCACAGCAAGGGCTCCAAGGTAAGCATCCTGTCGTCTTTCAGAAAGGCCGCAGAGCAGGAAGACACACAGTAAGACATCAAGCTGACAGTCCTGGAAACGCTATAGGGACACTAGGAGCTGGACTTGACTACACTGGGTGTCGGGTACCTGACTCCCCATCTCAGTGTGTGTGGATCATACCAGTACAGCAGTGTCAGTGCAGGCAGTATGATCGGTGCCAAGACCACACACAACACCACCACTAACCCCACACCAGCTCCGAAAGCAGGGCCGCCGATTCTGACACTAGACTCATGCAGCACAGACCCGGTGCCTTTCGAGGCTTTGGAAGAGAAAATGATGCCTGTCAAGAAACTGGCGCTAATCCAGAAAGTTTGTTTCAACAACATATTTCAAACAGAATTGAAGGCCAGCTGTAACAAAAATTTTAAATCAAAGACCAAAATAACTGCTTCTTCATTGACTCCTTTACCCCTTATATGGGAAGAAAGCCCCCAACTCCCAAATTTACATTATTTCCAATCCTACTGACCTTGATAGTTTAAGTGCAAATCTTAGTTTCCCCTTAAAGATGTGTGCAAGCAATCCTGAAAACAAATCTTAAGTTTTCTCTTAAATATGTATGCAAGCAATCCTACAAAAACAGAGGTCCTGGGACCATCAAGGGAGAAGAGTAGAGAGCGGAACCCTACCCAGAAAAGTAGTGTTGCCAGAGACGATGACGTGGAGAGATGGAGCAGCTGGGGACTCTAGACTCAGAGAGGGAGAGGGGCTGTGTGCTGACAACAAGGGAGCAGGCTTGCGGGATGTACCCTTTGGTTGGTTGATGATGCAGGGAGGGGATTGTAACCATGGCAACAGCAGCCCAATGCTTAAATCACCGTACCACTGAAGTCTGTTGGTGAGTCTTGACTTTCCAGTCACATTTTATGGGTTCACTGGCAGCAAGCCCCAAAATCTAGCCAGCCCACAAACGACGCCCTGCTGGTGTTCCTATTTGCCAGGGTCCAGAGTCGCGGGCAGTTCCCACTCATTGAGCACAGGGCTGTGACACGGGCCCCAGCTGTCATGGTGTGGGCAGGGCTGCCTTCTCCTGGAGGCTCTGATCCTCATGTGCTCGGCCCCGAAGGTTCCTTCTCTTTACAGGGACACAGAACACGCACTCATCTTCACTTGATTCCATTTCCAAGTTAGATCACAACTGCAGTTCTGGGAGGAAGTGAATTTAGGATGGAATATGCACTCCACTAAGGAGTTCTGGTGTGGCACTGGTGGTTAATGCACCAGACTGCAAGGTAGATGGTTCAAATCCACCAGCCCTTCCTCAGAAACCCTTTACGGGATCACTATGAGTCTGAACCAACAAGGAGCTCGGGTGGTGTAGTGGGTTACACACTGGGCTGCTAACCACAGAGTCAGCAGTTCAAATCCACCAACCACTCCTTGGGAGAAATGAGAATTTCTGCTCCTTAAAGAATTACGGCCTCAGAAAACTTAGACTCAACGGCACACAACCACCGCCACTAATTGACGCACTGCAAGAGACAAGGTGCCCCTTTTCTCTTCCCAGCACCCCCTCAGGCCTCCACTGCTGCACACTGGAGCACCCTGGGCCTGGGTGCGGCAGAGGAGGGGCAGATACGGAGTCGGGACTCTGGTGCTAACCTTCCTGCCTGCTTACACTGGAGCGTGCACACGGAAAACACATGAACCTCAATAGAAAATAAAACCCCCTGTCTATGCAGCGATCACGTAAAAGTCAGGCCGTTCTAACAACATCTTCCAGTCAGCTCAACGGGCTCACCAGCTAGTCCACAGTGTGCATGTCCACACATGACGTGGCCTTCTCATCACTAACACTGCCTTCAGCAAATGTCTCTGTGGCTGCAGGAGAGAGAGCCCTAAATGAAGACAACAGGAAGGCTATGAGTGAGCAGCAACGAAGAGTTCAGGCTCTGGGCCAAAGTCCTCTCTGACTTATACAACAAGGAGATGGGAAGAAAGGCACGGAAGGCATAGCGTCCACACCAGCGCTGTCTCCAGTTCTGGCTTGATGAGGGTGCACTGAGCCCTTCTCAGTCCGCCGCCATGTGAACCATGGGGAACCATGGGCAATGGCAGCAGCGTCCACCCAGAGGCCCCTCGCTGGAGGCTCTCCCTCTGGAAGTAAAGTAAAGCCTGGCGTACCTCCCCATCCAAGTCTTCCATACAACTGCCTATGTCACTGAAGCAAAAACACTGATAATCCAAAACATTCCTGTTACTGTCTTTACTGCAATGTTTACTTTATTGCAGAAGCGGAACCCAGGCTGTCTCGGAAGTCTGCTTATCAGTACTGTCTGTCCCTCCCCACAGACAGACCGAGCTCTGATACCTCCGTAGTGTGCAGCAGACACCACATCTTGTCTCAGGATCCTGCTGCCTTGTCAGCCACACAGAAGACGAGCGCACACAGCCCTCCACAGGACAGCTCCACCCCCACCTCCACCTCCAAAAGGCTCAGGGCCCCTCCAGAGAAGAGATGGCCTACTGGAGGAGACCCAGAAGGGCAGTGCAGACACTGACAAAGGAAGGACAGGAGAACAGACCAACCACAATGCAGTGCAGGGGTGGACAGACCTGAGATAAAGAACCCAGAAATCACCCACGTGGGAGGAAGCACACACGGCGCAGGGGAGGGCCTCTTACTTGACTTGTTCCCAGGTCTTGGTGGCCAAGTGCAGCACCCACAGATCCTTGTAGTGGTAGAACTGCTCCCCCTCGGGAGAGGCAAACTCCCCTCCAAAGACCCACAGCTGTCCGCCGCCCTGGGGCACCACCACGGCCTAGAAGAAACAGACGATCCGTCAGGGCATGGCCAAATGTCTACAGGGCAGTGCTGGCCCCACATGGGAGCCAGATACCACCTCAAAGCAGAAAGCCTGAAACCCACTGGGCTCCTAGGCGGTAAATTCCAAATGGACACAGTGGAAAGACAGCACTGACCACCCAGAGTATTCCCCAGGGACTTTAGTGAGAAACTAGTCCTATAGTAAAGCTATATGGACCGGCCTTAACCAAGTCAAAAGATGGTCTGCAAGTAACCCAACTGTCCGCCAGGACCAAGTCAGCATTAGTTACCAGGTGAAAGAGAATCTGCGCAGACACTCACACTCACAAAGCACATACTACTAGGAGGGACTGTGACCTGCAACATGGAGACAGAACCAGAGACTCAGAGAAGAGAGTCAGCAGACAAGGACTGTAGAGGACTTCTAACAAACACGTTCATAGGTATAAGGAAAGGATGCATAGATCAAATAGAAAAAGGGTCAGGGTCAGCAAGAACCAAACAACTGCTAGAGCTGCAAACACCCCCTTATGTAAAGGGAACGATGCACAAGTCCACAACACTCACTAAATTTAAAGGAGGCAACAGACTATCCAAAAGGAAGCTGAGGGAGAAGAGAGGGGGTGGGGGGGCAGGCAGAATCTCACTGACTCACTGGACGATTCTAAACAGTCTAACATTATGCAACTGAACTCACAGAAAAATCACAAAAAGGTTCAGCAAAATCAAATTGCTGAAAAGTGAATAATAAAGAGATAAATCTTTTAACCAGTCTGGAGTGGGAGAGTGGGTGGGGAGAGGGCTATTACATACAGGAGAGTAACAGTACATACGAGTACTAATGCACTAACCTCTCAGAAACCATGTACGCCAGAAAACAGAACATAAAAATCCTAAAACAACTCTCAACCCAGAATTCCATACCCAGCAAAAAAACATCCTTCAAAATGAAGGCGTTTTCACGTGAACAGAAGCTGAAAAAATGTGCTGCCAGCGTACTTCACTTCAAGAAATAGTAAAGTCGGTAACACTGAAGGCAACACCACCACATGGAAATTCGGCTCCACACCAGGAATGAAGCGCCCTAACAATGGGAAATTTCTAAATCTATGTAAACATTTCTGTAGAGAAAGAATTGGCTGCTCAAAGCAAACCTGACATTATGGGGTTGGTAATGAATATAGAAATAAATGCATGAAACAACAGCGCAAAGCTGTAAAGGGAAGACGGGCACACACCTGCCGCTCACTCACGGTCTTGCCATCAGACATTCCAGTTACAACAGCAGTAAAAAAATGTACTATTACTTTATATAAATGCTGAACTGTTTCATATAAACGCTCAGTTAAATACTAACATTACTAAACTTTCAATTACTTGTCCCACTAACGGTGTACCTATGGCAGTACACGGTGCAAGGCACGAAGAGCGCTATGTTTAAGGTTAGGTGTCTGCTTGGCTGGGCCATGACGCAGTGATTGGACAGTTATGTAATGATGTGCTCACCCACCACTCTCACCTAATGCCAATTTCCACACAACGATCTGGGCTTTGGAATTTAACCATGTTGATAAGCAAGGAGTGATTATATTCTATTGCAGGGTTGTTATATTTTATGAGAAACAGTATAATGTCCTAAATTAAAGATGCATGCTGCACACTCTAAAGAAGTCATACAAAAACAGAGATTTTTAATAAGATGAAAATGGAATATTAAATATCACCAACCCAAAAGAAGGCAGAGAAAAAGAAAAACAAGGCTACAGGTAAGCATGGGAAAAAGGAAACAAGTAACAGGATGGGGGTACATTTACAGTGAGCCACGTCAATCACAGTCAATGTAACGGACAAATGCATGAATTCAAAGCAGATCTTGTGAGACTCAATTATAGTGGTGTTTACAAGAAATGCATTTTAAACACAAAGATACATAGGTTAAGAATCAAACAATAGGAAAAAGTTACTATGTAAACCCTAACCACAAGGTATCTATCGAATGAGGTTATAATCCTATCGGGAGCCCTGAAAGCACAGTGGTTAAAGTGCTTGCCTGCAAACCAAAAGGCTGGTGGTTCAAACTCATTAGCCACTCCACAGGAAGAAGATGCGGGAGTCAGCTTCCATAAAGACTGACAGACTTTCCGCCCAATACTGACCACTCTGGAAAGAACAGATTAGAAGATCCTGAATAGAGTAAGAGAGAAACACAGAAGAAAACTCAACAGTCGTAAGAAACACCAGGCTTAGTGGATAGATGGAGTCCTGGTGTGGCCCCGCAGGATCACGCACTAGACTGCAATGTCAGTGTGAACGGCAAGGTCAGCAGTGCAAACCCACCAGTCCCTCCTCGGAAACGCTATACAGGGTCGCTGTGGGTCAGAACTGACTGAAAGGTACGTAAGAATAACAAGTCGGCAGACAGAGACTAGTGGAGCCCCAGACTATGGGCCGGAATCACCCTGCAGGCCTGGAACTGAATTCACCTCCCCGGCTCAATTTTCAGTCAAACTACAGGCAGCTCTAAGGAGCTCTGGTAGCGTAGTGGTTACAAACTGGGCTGCTAACCGCAAGGTCAGCAGTCCAAAACTACCAGCTCCTCCGCGGGAAAAAGAGGAGGCTTTCTGCTCCCATAGATTTACAGCCTCGGAAACCCTGTTCAGGGTTGCTATGGGTCAGAACTGACTCGATGGCACTTCACAACAACAACAGGCAGATCTATAAGGTGAACAAGTAGGCACTCCTTAGAATAATCAACCATCTGAGATCCAAAGGGCAGCATTCACCCCAAGACAAAGGTTAGAAAGCAGGAAAGGAGCAAGAGTGGAAATGGGGACCACAGCACGGACGGGGGAGGAGGGCTGCTGTTTCACTGTGGGGATCACAGCTGATGACATACAACAAAATGTGTATGGACTGACAAGTAGAAAGCGGATTTTCTCTGTAAATCTTTTTCCAATTCATAATAAAAAGTTAAACCAAAATCGATTAAAACAATCAATAAAGAAGCAGGCCTAAGTCTACACATCCTGACACAGAACAAGAAATTATTCCAAGAACAGGAACAGTGAACGAGAAAACCAAAGTACCTGTCTTCAAGGAGCTTCAGAATATCCCAGGCCAGGAACCCCTTTTCCCTGGCCATGACTACAGGGAGAAATCCTCACCATGTAAGAAGGATGCCAGCGTCACCCAGTGACGAGGGAGGCCACGTCTGTGAATGGGCCACTTCCCCACTGGCAGCTCCAGCCACCCGATTTTGAAGTGTGGCTACCGCTGCATCATGACACTAGACATTTTTACCTAGATTACTGTTTATAATCTTCACACAGCCTAAATCCATAGGCACTCATCTCCCCAATTTATAGAAGAAGAAAACATGTACAAGGATGCTCTATAGGTAGCACGAACAGCAAGCAGCGGAGCCTGCAAGACCCAGACTCTGTACTACTTGCCTCTGCTGGCAGCAGAATCCCCTCAAGCAAAGTCCCAGTGTGGAAAGATGGGAGAAACCTGAAGGCCCACCCAAGAAAATTACCTGATGAGCACAGCGCCGGGGAGGAGGATTAGGGATCTCCACTTTAGTCCACGCGTCCTTTCGGATGTTGTAGGTATACAGCTCGTTGTACAAAAAAGTCTGCAGGAAGGAAGAGTTTTCCTGGTCAGATGACAGGCAAGTGAGAGTACGTGGAAAGGGCTCCCCACCGTTACGCAGCCCTGGAAAGCAGTTCCCTAAAGCATTGCAGAGCACACCAACACACAGGGCTGTACATCCAACTGCCCAGGACGCCGAGGACTAAGACCAAGAGCCAGAGGGTCCACCCAGCTGTGCCTCTAAGGGCAGAGTTACTGAGACGTTGGCCACTCCTCCTTACTCAGGCCCGTGGTGGCTGTTGTGTGCCATCGAGTCAACGCTGACTCACAGCGACCTGTGTAGGAGGGTTTCCAAGCTTATAAACCTTTCCAGGAACAGAAAGTCTCATCTTTCTCCCATGGATCGACAGGTGGATTTGAACCGCTGACCCTGGAGTTAACAGCATAATGTGTAAACTACTACATTACTAGGGTTCACAGTCTTTAATTAAGGAGCCCTCGTGCCGCAGCGGACAAGCACTTGGCTGCTAACCACAGTCAGTGGTTTCCGCCCACCAGCCACTCCATGAGGGACGATGAGACGATCCAGTCCGGTGACCCTGAAGCCCTGCGGAGCAGTACTGCTGTCCTACAAGAAGCAATGAGGTGGAATGAACTTGCTGGCAGAGGGTTTTCTACGGCTGTTTATAAATGGACAGGAATTCACCGAAGACGGACAAGTGAATCAGATCCACAGAACTCCTTGCAGGTTGGAGTGAATCTGATGCCTGCTTTGCTTAACTGCTTCAGGAACAAGTCTCTGCCTGACACAACAACAACATGGACGAAGCCTGAGCATATTCTGCTAAGGAAAAACACCAGCCACAAAAGCATAAATACTGTAAAATCCTAGTCATGTGACATAGCTAAAGCAGCCAATTTTATAGACCAGAGTTTCCTGTGAGTGACCACCCGGGGTGGGAGACGCGGGGAGGGACGGAGTCACTGCAGCAGGATGAACGTGATCAGTGACACACAACTGCTGGCCTGCAAATGTTTGCTGGGTACACACTGCCACAATATGAAAACTGGGATCCGAGAAAAAGTAAAGCTCTGGTTAACCATTTCATGTACACTCATGCTTTCTGTACCTACCAAGGAACACGGGTCTAAAATGCTCAAACACACTGCTTTGTGCTATTACTCATCTTCAAGACAATCTTGAAAACGGTGTGAATTGAAGTTTGGAAGAGCTCACCCCAAGGAAGGCGCAGCGGGTCCACCTCCAGGACCGGGGGTGGGAGGGCTAAAAGGGAGAACTGTGACCACTGGCCACCCAGAGATGGGGATCAGAGGAGCGATGGCCCCTCAGTGTTGTTGCCCGCTGTCACATCACACCCAGCAGCACCTGGGCGACTTGTGGTGGGGACAGCACTTCATCAGTCCCGACCACTCACGCCGAGATGAGGCATGCAGGCCAAGAGGCACAGGACACCAATGCTTTCAGCAGATTCTACATCTAACGTGACCCATGAAAACAGGAGGTGGGACTGAAGGGGAAGAAAAAAAGATATACTTTACTTTTTTGCCATTGAAATATTCACCTCCGAAAAGGATCAATTCGTCTTTCTCAGGATGAGCGGAGAGCGATGCATTTAACCTACAAGACATGTGAACAGCAGGTCAGCACAGAAAACTTGCTCCTATGTCCAGTCGGAGAGCCCAGCTCCATCTGTGGGCGCTCTATCATTGCCTTGTCCTTTTGACAGTCCATGGGGGTGCCTGGGACTGAGAACGAGGGCCTGTGGTCACTGGTTCACAGGTCAGGGCAGCCCAGGTCTGAGCAGCCTGACACACAGGCTGGCCCAGGTCGAGCTGCTCCTACTGATAAGCAGAATTTCCTGGGACTATTTTAGTTGAGGAGTCCCGGTGTGGCACTTTAAGACTAGCACTGGACCTCAAGATCAGCTTGAACCATAAGGGCAGCTGTTCAAATTCACCAGCTGCTCCTTGGAAGCCCTACGCAGGGCCGCTGTGAGTTGGAACCTATTTGAAGAGGACATCCCATTAAGTCAGAAGCCTTGCCATGCCATTCCCACATATCTTCCACTTGAAAAATGGAACAACTCTTAGTTACTTCACATATGAGCACAAAAAAAGGTGGTTGTTCTTAAGTGCCATCGAGCCGGTTCTGACTCACAGCGACAATGTACAGGGTTTCCGAGGAGCAACTGGTGAGCTTGAACCACCAACCTTGCAGTTCAAACCAACCTCGCAACCCAGTGCATTAACCCGCAGCGCCACACCAGAGCCAGAAAATAGCTGTACGGAAATGAAGGATTCCTGGTACGTCCGTGGCTCAAGCACTCAGCTGCTAAATACTACATCAGCGGTTCGAAGTCACCCATTGCTCCTTGGGAGAAAGATGACACTGTCTGCTTTCATAAAGACTGACAGCCTCAGATAGTTTATGAGGCAGGTCTACTGTGTCCTGTAGGGAAACTAGGGATTGGGGTCAGCTCAACGGTGGTGGGTTCACATGGAAATTATAGGTCCGTTCTGACCATTTCAGTAGGGATGACTGTGAGGGGAGGTCACAGGAAATCACCGAGTAGTACTCCCTAAGACGAGTTCCAAGAACCCTCCTTTCACGTAAAACTTACTGCTGAGTGGGCCCCATGGACCCATACCTGCACCCTCCTTCAGCCTGAAGGTAGATTTGAAGTATATGCGCTTCCAGACCACTGCTCCTCCCCTGCCATCCCCTGGCCTCACTGCCCACTCACCCTAGCTTCCTCAGTTCCTTCAGGCCTCAGACTGAAAGAGCTCCAAGATTGATTTGTGACATCTCAACTGGAAATACACTTTAAACACCTTCAAGTCAAAACTGAGAGTATAACTTATGTTTTGCCCCAAGAGCAAGCTAGACCTGGAGGAAAATAAACTCATTATTATTACCAGAATTTATTAGATGAAGAAGGAGCCTCCCAACCTCTAGACAATCACACACTGTGTCTGAGACTGGTGGGACCCTGGCATCCAGGCCACAGTTTGCACCTCACTACGGCAAAAGCAACATGATACTACACATGCCCTCCTGGTACTCGGGGTCCCAGACTTCCATCAGACCTGTGACAGGACTAGGAAGGGGAGTCTTACAAACTTGGAGCCCTTGAGTGGGGCAGACCATGAGTACTCTCAGCTGCAAATCAAAAGATTGGCGGTTCGAGTCCCCCCCAAGGCGCCTTCAAGACAGGTCTGGCGACTTTCTTCTGAAAACTCAACCACCAGAAACCCCGGCAGAGCACAGCTCTACTCTCTCACACACGTGGAAACCCCTGTGGAGCACAGCTCTGCTCTCACACACACATGGAAACCCCGGTGGAGCACAGCTCTGCTCTCACACACGTTGAAACCCCGGCAGAGCACAGCTCTGCTCTCTCACACACGTGGAAACCCCGGTGGAGCACAGCTCTGCTCTCACACACACACACACGTGGAAACCCCGGTGGAGCACAGCTCTGCTCTCTCACACATGTGTGGCCAATGGCCATGAGTGGGATTTAACTTGATGCCAGCTGGTTTTTCCCTTACAAGTTTAAGCTGATTCTGAAGGAAACAGAATCAGTCACTTTTCTGTGCTACATAAAGTCACAGGTGCCTGTGAGGAGGCAACATTGCCCCTTCTCTGAATGCCATGGCCACTTGGCCTTTCCTACATTCCCATGGAATTCTGTGTGGCCAGTGTCTGGTATCTCCATGGTTAACAATGCCCCAAACTAAATGACAAAAACCATCAAAACTTAAAAAGTAGAGAGGACAAAGATTTACAGGTAGGAATCAGGATTCCAGCTGAGTAGACCAAAATCTGTTCATTTCAGCATATTCTATAAAGGTTTGAAAGTTTACAAAAGCCCAGGTTTTTGTCACACTTTACAAATCCATTTGCAAGGTCTTATAAAGCATTCATGTTCAATAGTAACCACGCTTTTCACAGAACTGAAAATGGAGCAAAGAGCAGTCATGATTCACTCACACCTTCGAAGTACCTTTTCAAACATCTTTAAAAGTTCGCTGGGACAAAAGGTTCGTTCCCCACACTATGACCAGTTGGGACCCTCAAACCCAGGCTCAATCATCCCCCTACGAGCAAGGGCTGCAAACTTCTCAGCACGGTGATAAACACGGTGTCTCACTCCCGTTCTTCAGAAGAAATGACAGAAAATGTTGGTGGGGGGCTGATTCTGCACAGACCTGAATCACTGAAATGCCCAGAACTGGTCAGGGATGAAAGAGGGTCTGAGTGTGATTTTTACAGGACTGCTCCCAGTTACACAAGACCCCCCACATCCTTACCTGGGAGAAGGTGGCGGACACTGTACTTCTACAATCTGAGTCTTCCTGGCATCCAGTGTCTGGAAGTGGGCTATTAGAGCTTCAAGGTCTTCCTAGAGGCAAACGAGCAATCCGTGTAAGACATCTCCTTTAACCCGAAGACCCTGGATCAGCCTCATCTGACCAACCATACTTGTCAATCATAGCATTTACCCCCATTTGAGATACACAGATTCTTTCACATTTAAAATTACACAGGGCTTGACCTTAATGGTTGTTGTTTTTAGCGGCCTGGAAGCGGGTTTAAACCAGGAAAGGTGTCCATCAATGCTGCATTCTTTCACTGTACTAATTCAATCTGTATGCTGAACAAATAATCAGAAAAGGTGGATTCCATGAGTGAGAACGCAGCATCAGGATTAGAGTAAGACACATTAACAACCTGCGAGGTGCAGGTGATACAACTTGCTTTCTGGAAGAGAAGAGAACTTAAAATACTTACTAATAAGATCAAAGACCACAGCCTTCAATATGATTACACCTCAATGTAAAAACAACAAAGCCCCTCACCACTGGACCAAACAATAACATGATCAATGGAGAAGAGACTGATGTCATCAAAGACTTCATTCACTTGCACCGGCCATCAATATTCGTGGAAACAGCAGTTAAGAAATCAAACAACATATTATGATAGGCAAATGTGCTGCAAAAGACCTCTTTAACTCTTAAAGAGAAAAGGTGTCTCCTTGAGGACTAAGGTATGCCTGATCCAAGTTACAGCCTTTCCATTCACTTCATCTGCATGTGAAACCTGGATGATGAGTAAGGCAGACCACAGAAGAACAGATGCACGGGCATTCAGGTTTTGGTGAAGTCTATCGAATATGCCATTGACTGTCAGAAGAACAAACAAATCTGTGTTGGAAGAAGGGCCGCTGGAATGCTCCTTGAAAGTGATGATGGTCAGACCTCGTCTCTTGTACTTTAGAAAAGTCATGAATGACCGACCAGTCCCTAGAGAAGGACATCATGCTTGGCAAAGTGAAGGGTCAGCGAACAAGAGGACTGCTTTCAGCGAGATGAGCTGATAGAGCGCAGCAACAACAGGCTCAAACGGAACCAGTGTGAGAGAATGGTGGCCTTTCTTTCCATTGAACAAGGCTCCCTCTGAACTAGAATCAACTCGACAGCACCTAACGGATCCAGGAATATTCCACAGGGCACCACATTCCAACAGCAACCCCTTCCAGCAGTGCACATGGGGGAACTCCAGACACCCGGGGTGGGGTAGTGGACACTGGGGTCAGTGAGGTAAGACCCTTCAGGAATGGACTCCCTGATGGCAGAGAGTAGAGGGCAAGATGAAGAAACGGACTAGAGTAAGGAGCATGAGCTCTGCAGAGTACGTCGTCAGCACTGGGGTCAGCTGCATGGAACCCCACCAGGCCAGGCAAGACCTGCCTGCAACTAAGTCATCAGCTGCAAACTCTCCTCATATAGAGACATTTCTATTTTAGAAGCAGACTTTACTGGCATTTCCTAAACATGTATTTTCTAAACATACACTTTAATGCAAAGAAAATAAAAACCCTCACCACTGGATCAATAAATAACATCATAATAAATGGAGAAAAGTTTGAAATTGTCAAAGATTATTTTGCTTGGATCAGCCATCAACACTCATGGAAGCAGCAGTCAAGAAATTAAACAATGTAATGCATTAGGCAAATCTGCTGCACAAAATTCCTTAAGTGTTGAAGAGCAAAGATGTCAGTCCAAGGACTAAGGTGCGGCTGACCCAAGCCATGGTATTTCCATAACGTCACATGCATGCGCAAGTTAGACAATGAATAAAGAAGTCTATAAAAGAATTGATGCATTTGAGTTGTGGTGTTGGAGGAGAATACTGAAAGTGCCATGGACTGCCAAAAGAACCAACAGATCTGTGTTGGAATAAGTGCAGCCAGAGTGCTCCTTGGAGGCCAGGATGGCCACACTTCTTCTCTCATACTTCGGACATGTTGTCAGGAGGGACCAGTCACTGGAGAAGGATGTCATGTTTAGTACGGTGGAGGGTCAGAGAAAAAGAGGAAGATCCCCAGCGAGATGGATGGACTCAAGCGTGGCACCAGCAGTGAGTCGGCGCAGGATAGGGCAGTGTTTCGTTCTACTGTGTACAGGGTCGATGAGCCGATACGGACTCAAAGGCACCGACAAACAACAAAACAACACATAGGGTCACTAAAGCACCATGACAGGAAGCAGGACAAGCATACATTCATTCGAAGCAGCGGCTCTGAGACTGCTTATCTGGGGTTCGAATCCCACCTAGCCCACATCTTGCCAATCCAGTAGCTCCAACACGCCTCTCACATGGAGCAAATCCTCCGCAGACAAACCCAGGTCAGTGAGCTGGACCAGTTGCATCCGGCCGGCCCCCCAACGCCGTGCTGTACACGCGCCTGCGCATCACAAGCGCTGGGCTGAGTGGGGTCTGCAGCCGCAGCACGGTGACAACAGGTGGCAGGCGGCCGGGGGAGGGAACAGGGCGGATTCGAGACCAAGGATGACGTCCGTGTGGTCAGAGGAGAAATGCGAGCAGGAGTTGGGAGCCGAGAGGCATACAGCCCCCCAGACTCTACACGGGCACGCCTGCGACAGCTACAGACGTCCTGGGGACATCAGTCCCGTGGGGGCGCCAGGCAGCGGCCGCCCTAGCAGCGTCTGCCTAGAAGGAGCGGCTGTTCCCGGCGCACCTCCGCCTTCCATCTGCGGGAGTCCGCTCGGCGCGGGTCCTCGGCCGCCCCTGGCAGCCTGCTCTGCGGAGCTCACCCTCGGGGTGGCCGCGGGGAAGGTCTTCCTTCCGAGCCGAGAGAAGCAAGGCGCAGGGCAGCGCCGCCTCCAAGCACGGCCGTCACCCGGCTTCAGTTCGGTGGAAGACGCGCACGACCCCTGAGACGAAGAGCAAGGGTGGGACATGGGGGCGGGCTCCGAGAAGGGCCCAGCGAGGCAGCCATCGCCGCTTCTTCCGTCTTGCGGAAGAGAAAACCCAGTCCCGCCGCGAGGCCGCACTCACCTCCTCCTTCCGCGAGCGCTTGGACACCTTCTTCTCCATCTTGGCGGCCGTCTTCTCGGCCCCGCGGCCCTTCTTCTCTTTCTTGCCCTTCTTGCCCATCTTGCCGGCTCTGGGAAAACGGCGTGTACAACTCACCAGAAGGAGGTGTTGGCGAGCTCGGCGCCCGGCTCATGTCTATCACGTCACTTCCGGACCCGCCGCGCTGGCCAGCTTCCGGGCGGAAGCGCTGGGAAATGGAACGGAAGGCTGCCCTCTACTGGGGCGTATCTTCAGGGCCCCGCTTCGCGGAGTCTTTGGAGACAGGCTTGGTGCCTGGGCCCTGGACGCTGTGTCTGAGGAGAAAATGCTTGAAGTCTTGCTCCCGGCCGTGTGTGGCTCATTTACACCGCTCTGCGCCTCCTGTCGTGGTGCGATGCGATGCGATGCAATGCGAGGGCCCTGGGCGTCTCTGGAGTGGAAGGGCGCCCGCCCCACAGGGAGCTGGCCGCCTTGGAATTGTTACGTCCTCTCCAATCGGGTCGGCCTCGTAGCGACCCTGTGTAGGGTATTTGAGGCTTTTATAAAACTCATCTTTCTCTCGCGGAACGGCTGACTGGCTCGAACCCAGACCTTGTGGTTCATAATCCCGTGCTTATTTTATGCTCTTTTTGAATACCAGCACGATATTCCATGATGCCAGAAAGTGAGACAATTAACTCCTTAACGAGTTGTAGAGCTTTTTGATTTGGTCTCCTACTTGAAGCTCACCCCTAGGGGTGAGGAGTATGAGAGAAGTGAAGCGTGGGTAAAGGATACTTCCAGATCACTCATCTTGCTGTCCTGATACCACGAAGCCTCAACTAGTGGGAGAGGAAGAGGACAAACTTCAGCCCAGAAACGGCCCTGACACCGCAGAGTGAAGCATAAGTGATGAAAAGTTGCAGACACAGAGCTTCCCGGGCCCCAAGCCTGGATTGAGAAGCTTGTCTGCCCACAGGAGGCTGGCTACAAAAATGTGACCTTTAGACATTTAAATGAAGTGAGGTTGGCCCAGGATCGGACATTGTTTCGTTCTGCTGTGCATGGGGGTCCCTATGAGTCAGTTCCGACATATGTTGTACGTCAAATCTTCTTGCCTTGTTCACTCGGGAACTATAAGATGTAAATGGAAAGAAAGCCGCAGGAGGAAATAGGATAAATGCTGCGAGGAGGAGATTAATCATTGAGATGAAACTATAATTTGCTGAATGTAAAGCTGATGATCTTGCCTGTAAACCTACACTCAACTCACAATAAAAGGTTAAAATAAAAACGGAAAACAAAGCTTGCCTCACAGAGTTACTATAAGTTACCCACACTTTTTTTCTTCCTTGGAACCTTTTGAAAATCAAAGTTAAGCTGTGGCCTAACTCATTCTAGAAGTGGCGCCATAGGATAAGCACTTGACCTCAAGGTGGATTTGAACTACAAGGTCGGCAGTTCAAACTTACTAGCCACTCATCGGAAACCCTATAAAAGGGTTGCTATGAGTCAGAACCGACTCAACAGCACTTAACAGCTCCCTATAAAAGTATCCATACACTTAAGTGTATACACACCAGGTTAACTCAGCCGCTTGCCTACAATGTGACAGGTAGCGCTTTGAGAGCTAAGGATACTGTGATAAATTGTTGTTGTTAGGTTCCATCGAGTTGGTACTGACCCATAGCGACCTTATGCACAGCAGAACGAAACACTGCCCAATCCTGGGCCAACCTCACTATTGTTGCCACGCTTGAGTCCATCGATGCTGCCACTTGACCAGTCCATCTCATTGGAGGTCTTCCTCTTTTTCTCTTACCCTCCACCTTACCAAACATGATATCTTTCTCCATGTTCCATGACAAATAAGAAACATTGTATCAGACTTGCCATTATATCAGACTCTTGAGGGAGGAACCTTGTGACTTTACAAAAAATGTGACTCTAGAGGAAATTTTTTCACGGGAAGAATGCTGCTGCTGTTAGTCGTGGTTGAGTTCGTTCTGAGTCTTAGCAACTCTTGTTGTTATGTACCGCCAAGTGGTTCTCACTCACAGACTCCAGCAGAGGGTTTCCAAGGAGCAGCTGGTAGTTTGAACTGTTGGCCTCGTGCTTAGCAGTCCAGTGCTTATCCTACAATGCCACACCAGAACTCCCATAGCAACTCTATATACAACCAAATGAAACACTGCCCAGTCCTGTACCATCCCCACCCTCAGCATTATGCCTGAGCCCATTGTTGCGGCCACCGTGTCACCCAATCTCATTGAGGGGCCTTCTCTTTTTCACTGACCCTCTACCTCACCAACCATGGTGTCCTTCTCCAAGGATTGGTCCCTCCTGATGACATGTCCAAAGTACATGAGATGAAGTTTTGCCTTCCTTGCTTCTAAAGAGCATCTGCTGTACTTCTTCCAAGGCAAATTTGTTCATTGTGTGTCAGTCCATGGTATGTATGTATAGTCAATGATCTTCACCAACTCCATAATTCAACTTATTTGGTCTTATTCATTGTCCAGCTTTCCTATCATATATGTTGTTAAGTGCTGTCGAGTCGGTTGTGACTCATAGTGACCCTGTATAGGGTTTCCAAGGAGCAGCTGGTGGGTTTGAACTCGCAAACGTGGTTCGCAACCAGTGCTCATCCTACAGCACCACACCAGAAGTCTGAAAATACCATGGCACGCCTTAGACCTCAAGATAATAATTTTGCTTTTTTAACACATGTCTTTTACAGCCAATTTGCCCAATGTAATATATCACTGAATTTCATGACTCCTGCTTCCATGGGTGTTGGTTGTAAATCCAACTAAAATGAAATCCTTGAATATTTCAAAATTTACTCTGTTTATCATGATGTTGCTTTTAGTCCAGTTGTGAGGTTTTCTGTTTTCTTTATGTTGAAGTGCAATCTATACTGAAGGCTATAGTCCTTTTTTTTTTTTTTTTTTTTTTAATATTTATTGTGAATTATGTGATAGTTTATATGGGAGAACATTAGCTTTACATTCATCCTATCGTATATTGTTTCATTGCCATGGTTACAATCCTCTCCAATCAACCAACCAAAGGGTATACCCTATGAACCTGCCCCCTGGTCATCAGCACACAGCCCCTCTCCCTCTCTCCCCAGCCGCTCCATCTCTGGCATCACTGTTTCACTAGGTAGAGTCCCGCTCTCCGCTCTTCTCCCTTGATGGTCCCAGGGACCTCTGCTCCTGGACACAAAGTCAATCACTCCCCTCCTTTTGCTACAAAACGTCTACCTTTACATTTCCAGCCCTCACATTCAGTCCTGATAACAATTATTCATTATTGTACCACAAGAGACCTATCCCTATTCCCTCTCATCAGCCCCGCCCAGACAGATTGGATACTACTCAGTGGAGATTCTACCTTCCTCCACACCCTCTGGATCTAGGTTACCTCTTGAAAGCTTGTAAGCCAGTCACTTCTTGCCTTTGTAGCCTCCCCCCCCCCCCCATTTTGGGTAGCCAATGTCCAAGTTGCCCATCCCAGACTATTCTGGTATGGAGGGGGTGGGAATGATCCTCGTTGTAAAGATTTGTTCCCTCTTTTGAGCTACTGCATCCATAGGTGAGGTCAAGTTCATCAAATTGTATCAGATTACCCGTTTTCCCCCCTCTTCTTTCTTCTTCTGGTTGAGCTCTGATCATCCAGTCATTGAAGCCAGGTCAAGTGGGTATTATCAGCAAGTGTGGGTGTTCTTATACATATGCCCTCTCTTTTTATCAGCTGGATGCTTCACTCTCCAATCTAATCCTCTGTGTGGCTATGTCACTGACTCTGGGCCCAGGAGTCCCCAGGTCTTGTCATACTGCTGTCCAACCAGTTATCTACCTGGGTTCACAAGAGTCTATTGAACATGGTAAGGCTTAGCTGTTTTTCCCTCACTTCCCCTTATCAGTGACAAACCTGATCACCAATCAAAGCGCATTTATGCTCCTGTATTCCCATTTAGCCTTAGTCTTGGAGGGAGGTTTGCCCTGAGGGGACCCACCTGCTTGCCGTGATGTCTCCTGGGCGAACAGCTTGCTTGTTCTTGTAGCAGTCAGTCAGACTGCCTATATTGTTTTGTATTTTTCCTGTCAGTCTTTCTTTCAAGAAGTATATTCTGTTCTTATAAGGCTGTAGTCTTTGATCTTCATTATTGTTGTTGTTAAGTGCCATCAAGTCAGTTCTGACCCATAGAAACCCTGTATAGGCTCTCTGAGGAGCAGCTGGTGAGCTTGAACTGCTGACCTCACGGTTCAAACAGACTTTGCAGTCCAGCACATTAGCCCACAAGTGCTTTATATTATCTTTACTTTCAATAAACAAGGTTGTGCCATCTGCATATTGCAGCTCATTAATGAGTTTTCTCCAATCCTGGTGATGTTTTATTCTTCATATAGTCCAGCTTTGAACTTGTAATCAAGGAAATCAGACAGTTTAAGAGCAAGGATAAGCAAAAATTTAGCAAAGGGAAAACATAAATTGGGAAATGATCTAGTTTCTTATATGGTGGACAAGCTATCTAATGGCTCAACTTTAAAGAAATTCTCTTAGATCTAATCAGTTACTAATAATTGAACAACCAGAAAGAGATATGTTTCCAACCAATGCTAGGCTTTGTCTGTAAACCTTTTAGAAGATGAATGGAATTTGGGAAAATATTGGAATAAAAAGGTGGAACAGAATTAAGTCTACCACCACCTCAAGCATAATAGTCCATGTTGTTAAGTATCATCAAGTCAGTTCCAACTCAGAGCGACCCTGCATAGGGTTCCCAAGAGCGGCTAGTAAGTTTGAACCATTGAGGCTGTGGCTCAAACCGACCTTGCGGCCCAGTGCTTATCCTACAGTACCACACCAGGACTCTAGCATTGCTGATGTTGTTGTTATTAAGTGCTGTCGAGTTGGTTCCGACCCACAGCAACCCTGTACAGGGTTTCCGAGGCTGTAAATCTTTACAGGAGCAGAAAGCCTCATCTTTGTCCCGTGGAACAACTGGCAGTTTCGAACTGCTGACCTTAAGGTTTGCAGCCCGATTTTTTTTTTTTTCTAAAAAGCTGAATCAATGTCACTAAACAATTTGT